GGCTAATTTTTTGTATATTATTATGGCCAATTAATTTCTTCTATTTATAGTAGAGACGGGGTCTCGCTTTGCTCAGGCTGGTTTCGAACTCCTGACCTCGAGCAATCCGCCGCTTCGCCTCCCAGAGAGCTAGGATTACAGGCGTGAGCCACCGCACCCGGCCTGTTTTGTTTTTTTTGAGGCAGGGTTTCACTCTGTTGCCCCGGCTAGAATGTCATGGCATCAGCTTCGCTCACAGCAACCTCAGACTCCTGGGCTCAAGCAATCTTCCTACCTCAGCCTCCAGAGTAGCTGGGGCTACAGATGTGCGCCACCATGCCCAGCAAATTTTTTCTATTTTTAGTAGAGATGGGGTCTCACTCTTGCTCATGCTGGTCTCGAACTCCTGAGGAGTTCAAGCAATCCTCCCACTTCAGCCTCCCAAGATTGCTAGGGTTACAGGTGTGAGCGACCGCACCCTGCCCTCAATTCATATTTTAAAACTTTAAAATCATCCCAGGGCAAAGCTGTTACTGTGCTATGTAAAAACGGTAACAGTGGGTTTCTCCTTGTGGGAATTCCACAAAGTGCTGGGTACCCCTCTTAGAGGAAACTGCCCCATGCACACAAACAAGCTAGTTGTCTGTTTTGTCATCTTGCATCTATAGTCCAGTGATGATAGGGGCCCTAAATTCCCAGTAGCTTTGGGTTCAAAAGTCCAGCCTTTGGCTGCTCTTGAAAAATTCACTTCACTTCTCTGACTGGCACCTCTAAAATGAGCCTAAACATAGCTGCTCTGCCTACTTCCTGGGGTGGTTAAGAGGACAAGGAAGTGGTAGGCAAGCTGTCATGAAGGCCAGACAGATAGTTCTACTGGTAAGGTGTAAAACATTCCTGGCCTAAACCACTATAGCAAATACTGAATATATTTTCTTATAAGAGCTTTCCAAAAAGTAGGCATCTGAGCCAAGCAAACACACGGGGGGACAGGATCTCAGGCCTCCTCAGCCTCTATCTGAAGCCAGTTCCTTCCCAATAGGACTCCTCGCCCAGTGGTATCACTGGTTTGGTTTCGTGGGCTGAGCTAATCTGCCCTGATATCCTTCAGCCCTGAGAAGACTTTGTGCCAATAAAAAGCCCCTGAAACACCCCAGAACGGTTCTCCTCAGCCTGGGCAGTAGAGCCTGTGTAGTAATGTAAAGATGAGGCAAAAAGAAAGGTCAAGAGAACCCAAGCGCAGCTGTTTAGACCCATACCAAACCCTAACCACAAGGAAGTCACCTGCAAGTCGCTGGCCTAGGACCATCTGAGGGTGGGTGAGTTACTATGCTGGATGCCTTACACACTGTGCTTACCTTTCTGTGACAGCAGTTTATGGTTCACCGCTATGGCCTGACAAGAAATGCTAGTCATATGCTGCTGTCTCCTAACAGGGTTTTTGAACACATGAAAATGTTAGGAGACAGCTGTGCATGTCTATCTGCTAGCTAGCTCCCTCTCCAATTCTTTCCCGTGTGAAGCCAAGAACCCACCTGGCAAGTTCAGGGGGCTTTCCTCCCTTCACTGGGACTCCCCCTGCAGCCGTAGCATGGCCTAAGTTTCCCACGAAGGAAAGGATTGTCCCAATCCTGATGTCTGAGAAACATGCTCACACAGGGATATATAGGTCCAGCAGGTAGGAAAGAAAAGGTTGGTTTCTTCATGGAAGAACGGGATATGAGGTTGGAATGGAAGGGAATACAATCAGCTACGGGCCTCATCCTCTGAAAGTTGATCATCCAAATTGGGTCATTCTTGTCATACCCAACTAAATCATAGGGCTGGGGGGAAGCACTCAAGGTATATATCATTGCTCTATTAATAGAAATGAAATTCTCTGCAAGTCCAGCAGCTGAAACTGCCTTTCCTAACCTGAAGCCAGTTTTACCTATAACTGCTGGGATAACTTGTTGTGACTCTAGGACCAATTTTGCCCACCACCATCGTCCACCAGCTGGAGCTTGTCAACTCCCCAAAGCTTTACTATGTTAGGAAGGTGACCAAGAGACACTGTCCTCAGTGGCAACATGCTCACAGCTGGGCATCCAGGAAGGGCCACGGACACAAACACCACCCTCGCAGATGCCTGAAGTCCCACCTTAGCATTAGGCCTGGCCCCCTCCCTGGTGTCTATTTTTAAACGTGAGTGGTCCTGGAGGGAGAACGCGTGAAATCGCCAACTACCCTGTGCTTTGTCAGATCGCTGGCCTGGGGGCAAGCGGAGAATCTTGGGGAAGAGCAGCCAATTGAAAGAAGGGTTGGGGGGTTTGTGGGTTGGGGGGATGGGGCGCAGGGATGAAAAAAAAGAAAAAAAAAATGAAAGGCAAAGGCCAAAGGGCAAGTGATAGGACCACAGTCCCTTACTGTGAGGCTGGATTTCTAAGGAACAGGCCTTGCTGGGGGGAACCTTCTGAGGAAGAGTTACGGGGGTTGGTGACCTCCCATCTAAAGAGCCTGCGGGACAAGACTAAACAGCAACTGGCCAGGCTTAGCCGACACACACTGACGTTATCCTCTCCACTCTGGGGAAATGTGGCTGCCACAGCCCAGAAGAGAAGTCCAAAGGTTCCTGGTAGAGTCCAGGCCTGCTGAGCAAGCGTTTGCAACGCCGACTTTGCCCACATGACTGAGGGTTACCGTCAGAGAGCATTCAGCCCTCTGAGGGTGTATTATGTCAAGTGGAGAGGCCCCAGGATTCTGGAAGGAAAAGCCAAATATGCTACTGGTTTCCAGATGAGATGACGAGGCTGAATCTCATTATCATTATTTTGAATTAACTCAGCTCCCCGGTACCTTGACAAAGTCAATGTTTGCTTTAATAGATACTAACAGGCAAAAGGATAATGCACGAGGTAAATGTGATTGATTCTGATGGAATTACAACATTAACAGCAAAGAGGATAAAGGAGATGGCATATGTGGTAGTTTTAGCTAATTGTTTAACGGGGACTCTCCTGAAATCTTCCTCCGAACGGTTATTCCAACTGGCAGATGTACAGGTGCTGTTGGTGGGATTTGGGCTGCAGAGGAACAAGCCCGAACAAAGGAAGAGGAGAAAAGGCCGAGGGGAGGGAGGAGGAGGCCCGGGAGGGCGCTGTGCAAGCTCGGGCTGAGCTGCTGGAGCTCCTTCATTAATGATCTGGGAGTAAACAATCCGTAATGAAATTCGCAGAGAGGCTCGCTGGGGAAATTCCAATGCCGGTGAGAACGGAATCATTATATACCAAAAGAACCCGGAGATCAGCTAGCTTGGGCAGGAAACACCATTGATGGCTTGCGAGTTAATGCGCCGAGGGGAAATACATCAGAAAACACAAATATTTAATGTGAGGAAGAAAAATGGGAAATCAATAAGACCCCAGAAAGACCTAAGGGTGATAACAAGTAGTGAATCACAGGCATTTGCAGTGTAATTGAGAAGCCCAGACACGCAGCAGGACTGTGAGCTGGGTGCCAGAGGCACTTTCCGCCAAGTCCCTTCTGAAAGGAATGGACTCCATCCCAGAATAAGCAGCATGGGGCAGATATAAGCAGGGAGCGCAGGGATGAGCAGTTAAGATGTGAGGAGAGGAGGTGACATCTCCTAAAAGCAAGAGAGGAACCACAGAGCTAATATGCGACCTGGTGCAGCCAGGTGGCCTGTGCCCAGCCTGTGGCATAGCAGAGAGCGAGGACATTGACCTTGGTTCACACCCCTACCTCCTGCTCTGCCGTTACCAGTGGGGTTCCTGGGGTTCCCAGTTCCCATACCTACAAATTCTCTACCTCTTACTTGCATGGCCCTATGCTTGACAAGTGATCTGATCAGCACTATCAATATTTCTTCCTCCCCTTGTTTCCCAGATCGATCCTTTCCCGCAAGCCATGCACCAACTCCTTTGGGGAGGTGGAGCAAGCATATCGGTCCCTCACACAGCCCTGGTGGTAGTTAGGTTCAGATTTTCTGGTTATGGACACCCATACCCCTGCCCCAGAGCATCAGGCTAGAGCACCCTGGCAGGTGTCCGAAACATGGTGCACGAAGCTTGTGCCCCCCCCTTGGCAGGTGTACCCACCGGACCACATCTGCCCATGTGGGGTGCACATGCCAAGACAGCAGATATCCTCTCATTCCATGCCCACCTGCCCTCCCGGACCCCAGCAGCAGCTCCAGGTCCTCCAGCACAGGAAGTAGGCAGCCCTAGAACAAGTTCAAGCCCTCTAACCCACCTTCCTCCTCAACCGCAGGGCTGTTTCTAAGAGCTGGGGATGGAAAAGTGTACTGGGTATAGCTGGAAGCATCTTTCCAATCTCTCTATCACATGGCCACTGCTCTTTCAAGTCCTACTCCCACCCCCACCCCACTTCCAGTGTGACATTCTCTGTCTGTCCCTTAGCTATACAAACGTTGGTTTATGTGAGCTATGAAGGAACAACACCCACGCTGGGGGCAGAGTGGAGAGAAGTGGCCAACAGAACTCCATGCCTATTTCAGGGGGGAAAGAATCGGACCTAAAACAATTCCTACAGCTTGTTGTCATCCTATGGAATGATCAGAGAAGACTTATCTTAGATTCTGGCTAAGATCCATGCACTGAAACAGATAGAAAAGTGGCTGCTTGTTACAAAGTTATAAGGACAATGTGAAAACAAACATCCAGAATGTTTCCTTGTTCTATGTCTTGCCTCCTGCTGAATATATTTAATACTTGCCTAGATTGTTACAATTGTATATAGAGAATGCCCAGAGGTGAGGGATCTTCCTCCTACACATCCCTGGACAGAACTTTCAGAGAGTTACCTCTACAATGGACTCCTCCAGCCTACATTTCAACCCCTCTGGTTGCGTGGCCATGGTCTTCCAAAGGGGCCTTAGGTGACTCTGAAGAAAGCAAGGCCACCCCTTTGTGACATAGCAGCAGTAGAAACAATCCAATCAAGAGGACCCCACCACGGAAACGGCCGATTGCAGGAGGAGACCTGAGAATCTTAAGCCTGCCAGGACTTCACCAATTCATTGGCCTCAAAATAACTCATGCCCATCCCCTTACACGCTGTCTCTGGGACAAAGCAGGGCTTACTTCTCTCAACAGCTCCAAATGACTCTGTACCCCTTGGTCTGTGTACTAGGTCTTCTCCCAGATTCATTCTTATACATTTGATTCCAAGCCCTAGTTCTGATTCACCTCCAGAAATCCAGAGTGGGTGCTGAAGGAGCTTAGGAAATTTCACTCCAAAATATGACTCCTTGGTACAAAGAGTATTTTTAATTAAAGGTCCTTAGAGATTAACAGGCCCTTGGAAGGGTCTTTCTTTCTATCTGCATAATCAGATGGCGTGTGGGCCCATCAAAGGAACAGTCGACTTCCCTTCCCTTCCCTGTTATCTCCCTATATTGCAGGAAAGAAAATCAAGAACGCAATCAGAACTGGCCCAAATCATCTTAAATATAATACTTGTCTCTCAAGGCTAATTCCGTTTGCAAAGAGAATCATTTACAATCAATCTGTTTCCCCCATCCGGTCATCCTCCCTAGTAACCACTCATTGCCTCTAAGCAGAATTATCTACATTTCTCATCTCCCCCTCCCCTCTAAAAGGAGGGCATAAAAATTTCTGGACCACTGAATATTAGATAATCATTCTATGAGTCTCCCCATGTGTATGGTAAATAAACTTCTTCCTCTTATTGATCTGCCTTAATTGTGACTTGATCTTTCACCCCCACACTGCACAATAGCAAAGGATCTCATTTTGAGAAGGTTGGATGATTTTGGAGCGTCATGGAAACTTGGAATGTTAGGACTGGAAGGTCTTACTGGATCACCTAATCCAGCCCCTTTGTTTGGGGCAAGAGGAACCCAAGGCCCAGAGAGGCTCCGTGGCCTTCCCCAGCGCACAGCCGCTTGGCAGCCCACACACAATGAGGATCTGTGGCCCTGACTCTTCTACTTCTTCTACAACATCTCGCTCACGTTTTGAAAGAGTTACTCTGGCTAGCACTGGTAGGTTACACCCTTCTGTGATTATCCCTACCTGAGGTAGAACCACATTGATTGGAATTTCTAGGCTTTCAGATCTCGAATCTCTTTTTCTTGTAAAACTTGGCCTCGAATACTGTGGAAAAGAGAAAATAAGAAGATTTCTGCCTCCTAGCCCATCTGGTGGGCCTCAATTGCTCACCAGAAAACATAGAACTTTCTACTCCTTTATTCCCCTTTTGTCAATTATGGACGTTATGAAAATTTGAGTCTGAAAGAATGTGTAGATGACATCTGATAAGATGATTTATCCATCTCTGAACAGAAATTAAGACAGGTTTTATAGTTGCTGTAAAAGCCTTTTGAAAGTCTTTAAAGCAGAGATAGCTTTACCTACTTCCTTGTCTAAGATGATTATTTCTATTTCAAATAAAAAGCCATACCAATGTGAGGTGCCAGGTATAGGTCCTATGCAGAAGTTGGTCACCAAAACACTCAGAACATTCCAGAGGTGACATCACAAAACAATAAGGTGTTTTTCAGGGCTCATGGTTTCTCTCTAAGCATCACAGGTGGGAATGAGGCATCTGACAGGCAGGAAGAGCTTATGCTGGCTGTGACCACATGGCCGGTCACAGTCAGTGTGACACACAATAGCCCAAACACTAGCCCCTGTGTGGTCATCCTGGCTGCCACCCACATCCTCCCTGCCAGGGTAGGTCAAGAGCCCTGTCCTCTCTCTAGAGCTGCCTTCTTCTACTTGGACTTGGATCACTGAAGAAGGAAGGAAGAAACATAAACTGAACTCTTCCCAAACCAAGGAAGAAAATGTAGTCTGAGGTGTTTTCTGACACCACCTGATTCTCCAGTTCTCTGACATCAACCGGGCGTCCTACAATTCAATTGCATTCTGACACTATGTGCCTGGAGTTAACATCAGATCCCATAAGCGAGAGGCTCAGCCCCACAAGACTGCCCCACTTCCGGTTCCAATCGTGCCTGGGCCACCTGTACTTCCGACTGATTGGCTATAAATCAGGGGTTCCCACAGCTCCCTCCTTGGGTTCAGTAATTTGCTAGAATGGCTCACAGAACTCAGGAAAATACTTATGACTACAATTTTATCATAAGCGATACAACTCAGAAACAGCCAAATGGAAGAGATGCAAAGGGCAAGACATTGAGGGGCGGGGGTGGCATGGAGCTTCCATACCTCCTCTGGGCACATCACCCACCCAGCATCTCAATGTGTTTGCCAGTCCGGAAGCTCTCTGAACCCTGGTTGTTTAGGAGGGTTCTGTGGGGCTTTCATTACATAGGCATGGTTAAAATCAAATCACTGACCATTGGTGATTGACCCCATTCTCCAGCCCCTCTGCCCTTCCCAGAGGTGGGGGGCATCTGAAACGTCCAACTTTCTAATCTCGGGGTTGGTTCCTCTGGCAACCAGCTCCCATCCTCCAAAAGTCACCTCATTAGCTTAAACTCAGGTGTGTTCCAAAGGGGCTTTGTTAGGGATAATGGAAGACACTCCCATCACTCAGGAAATTCCAAGGATTTTAGGATCTCTCTGCCAGAAACCAGGGACAAAGGCCAAATACACATTTTTGTTATACAATGTGTAGAAACTGCATCAAGACCATGAAGCCCAACCCTCTGACCTCAATTCTGTCCAATCATTCACCTCTAGAGGCTGTTAGTGGGAGCCCTTTTGTGTGTCTCTAGCCTCTTATTAGCCAGAGAGCCCCAATTCCATATTATCGTGCGATATGTGGTGGGAAGGGAGAGGTAGAGCAGGGTCAGCAGATCCAGGGACATTATAACTGCACCCTTGCACCTCCCACACCCATGTGACAAGCAAGCTATGCTTTAAGAAAATCCAATATACAAAAATTCAAAAATATACTTATGGGAAAACCAAGAAGGTGATTAATTACATTATCAAAGATTTCTTCATTTAACAAAAGAACTTCTCCAAGGATTTTTTTTTTTTTTTAGTTTTTAAAATGGTGGTTACAAACATATAACATTAAATTTACAGTCTTAAACATTTTTAAGCCTACAGTTCAGTGGTGTTGAATATATTCTCATTGTTGTGAAATAGATCTCTAGAACTTTTTCATTTTGCAAAACTGAAACTCTATGGCCCGCCTCCTCCAGCCTCAGCCCTTAGCCACAACTTTTCTATTAATACTTTCTCTTTCTATGATTTTGACTACTTTAGGTATCTCATATAAGTGAAATCAGAGTATTTGTCCTTTTGTGATTGGCTTATTTCATTTAGCATAATGGCCTCAGGGTTCCTCTGTGTTGTAACATATGACAGGACTTCCTTCTTTATAAAGGATGAATAATATCTTATTATATGTATATACCACATTTTGTTTAATCACTCACCCATTGTCAATCGTTTGGGTTGTTTTCACCTCTTGACCATTGTGAATAATGCTACAACGAATGTGGATATGTAAATATATGTTTTGAGATCCTGCTCTGAATTTCTTTTGGATACATACCCAAAAGTCACACTGCTGGATTACATAGTAGTTTTGTTTTGTTACTGAACCAAACTGGGGTCACTCACCTGGCACAATAAAGCCAGACACTGACACCAAGATTTGCAATGACAGCAAAGGGCATTAATCGCATTGTGCCAAGCAAGGAGAATGGGCAGCTAAGGGTTAACATCTGAACTCTCTGGTGCTCTTACAAGCAAGGGTTTTTAAAGGCAGAGGAACATATCAGGAAAGCAGAAGTTGCAGGTGAAATAATAAATCAATACGTGGAGGTTATACATTGGTTTGGCCCCAAACAGCAGTATATCTTGAAGCGAGGGCTTACGGGTCATCGGTACATTCAGAGATTCTTTGATTCCTGCGGGCATGACTCTCTCCAGACTTCTCAGGAAGAAATTTAGACCAAAGAACAACAGTCAGAGTTCAGTCCTCGGTTCCCCTTTATCTGAGGTGATAGTGGTCTTTCCATTTGGTGGGAGTTTCTGAAAAGCGACTCAAGAACATATGTTAAGGTGTTCTCTTTGAGTTTCTATAGGGAACCAAAGCACCTTGTGGCTCTGGGAGACTGTTGTTTCTACCTTGAAGAGTATGTTGCTCATTTACTTTTCAAGGCTTGCTAGGTGGCTGGAATTTCCCTTTAAGGGACTCAAGATTTTTCTTTTATTTTCATGCTTGGGGGACTTGACAGGTCCCTAAGAGGGGTCCCTGCTCCATTAATTTTTTTTGCGTTACCTCCATGCTATTTTCCAAAGCAGCTGCATCATTTTACATTATCTTCAATAGAAGGGTTCAAATTTCTCCCCATCCTTGCTAATACTTGTTTTCTATTTCTCCAAGGGCTTTTTATGTGGCTAACTCCTACACTGTCTAAAAACAGAATTCTGTTTTCCCTTATACACACACCTCACAGAAGCACAGGCGCCGGGTTACAATAAGAGGAGCTGCACCCAGCACGAGGGAAAAGTGGATGTCACCAAAGAAAGGAGGTCTAGAAAGGCCACCCAGTCTATGGGCTTGCTGCCCATCGGGGCTGAGCTAGGAAGACTAAACAGGGAGGGCAGCAGCTACATTCATTTCCTAGGACTGCCCTGACAAAGGACCATGAACTTGATGGCTTAACACAATAGGAATGTATTGTCTCACAGTTCTGGAGGCCAGAAACCCCAAAATCAATGCATTGGTAGGACCTTGCTCCCTCTGGCACCTGTAGGGGAGAATCCTTCCTTGTCTCCCTCCTGGTTTCGGGTGGTTGTCGGCATTCCTTGGTGTTCTTTGGTTTGTACTGCAGCATTTCAATATCTGCCTCTGCTATCAAATAGCATCCTCCCCTTGCGTGTCTGTATCTGTTCTCTTATAGGACACTGGTCATATTGCATCAAGGACACTGGTCATATTGAATCAAGGGCCCACTATACTCCAAGCAGACCTCATCTTAACTAATTATATCTGAAATGGCCCTGTTTCCAAATCAGGTCATATGCTGAAATATCGGCGGTAAGGAAGTCAGCATATCTTTTTAGGGGGCCACAATTCAACCCATGACAGAAGCTAAAATTAAACACCTAGCAAGGACTGGTACTATGCTACTGTATATGTGTCATTTCACTTAAATCAGAGTCACAGGCATATATGCAGGTCCCACTACTCTCTAGATAGATACAGCCTCACTCTTGGGGTCCCTAAACCCACTGTAACAGAGGGAACGGCCTGAAAAAGGGCCACGTGTATTACAAGCTGTCTCTTTAAAACCTCCCCCACTCTTTTTGGGAATTAAAACCTGCATCCCTGCCCCAGGCCAGTGGTCAGGAGGGGCAGGGAAATGTCCTTTGTTCTTTGTACTGCAGGAGATGGCTCAACAGAACTGTCCAGGAAGAAGTCACGAGGTTGTCTCCTCTGGAGATGGGACCAATCAGAACCATCAACTGTAGTTGAACAATAGTACCCTGAAGCTGAAAACACTCCCTTTAAAAGCTCTGTATTTCTGCTTATAGACAGCGAAATGGTAAGCAAGGAGTCTGCCTTTTCCTCATTTGCCAGCAAATTAATAAAAGTTCCTTTCCTTCTCCTCAAACCACTTGTCCTGATGCAACCTTGGGAACAGTGCTGAGCTTTCAGTAGCACCATCACCCTGGTCCTCCTCCAGCAGGTTCAGCTGAGCCCCTCCCTCCTGCAGGAGAGGCCTCTAGTGCCAAGGAGGACAAGTCTGCCCTGAAAAGCTCCACACAGACAAAGAAATCTGCTAATCTGCCTGGTATACTTTTGTTTTGTGAACTAAAATAAAATTTTAAGGCTCAACCCCCACCAGCTGTGAATGGACCCCCTTGTGGCCAAAGGAATACCCTAAAACTAAATTGTCTGCCAGGAGGAGGGAGGTCAGGCATGCCTCATCATGCTCCCCTCCCTTCTTGGTGACATCCTTTGTGACCCATTGACAGGCCTAAGTGTATGCAAGACAAACCTGCAGGTCCTCAATTTACACACAAAAAATGTATGACCTATGGCTTATCTCTGATAACACTTTAGACAAAGCTTCATGTCTTTAACCAATTACAAGCCAAAGAATCTTTAAACTCACCTATAACCTGTAAGCCCCCCACTTCAAGATGTTCCACCTTTTTGGGCCAAGCCAACGTATGCCTCCCAAGTATTTATTTATGACTTTACCTGTAACCCCTGTCTCCTTGAAATGTGTAAAATCAAACTGTAACCCAGCCACAGTGACTCCACTTGCTCAAGGCTTCTTGGGTGTGGCTCCAGGTCATGGTCCTCAAATTTGGCTCAGAATAAATCTCTTTAAAATTACTTAACAGAATTTGGCTTTTTTTTCATTGACAGTTACTATCATATATATTGTATTGTTCATATTTATTATTATTTCTGCTATGTTATTTTGTCTGCTCTTAGACCCCTGCCTTGTCTACCCTTTTGGTTGTCTAGTGACCAGTTCCCTCTAGTGTACTAAAAACCTGACCCTGGCTCTGTCCTCTAGACTATCTCTGAAGAAAGATAAAACACACCCCATTTAAGTCCCTCTGTGGTTTTCTTCCTGAAGTCATATCCACGATACCAGGGAAGGCTTGTGGTACAGTCCATTCCTAGAAAGGAAGTCTTGCTATCAGATGACCATGAAAACTCCCAGGACCCAGACGATGGAGCAAATGACTCCTTTCTCAGCCGCATCACCAGTCAGTCCAACAGAGTCCTCCTCCATTGGGCATCTGGGAGACCCTTCTCCTTGTGCTCTCTCTCCCTCCTCCAAAGGCCGTAGTCCTTAGCCTTTGTCTCCCCAGAGGCTGGGCTCCAGGTGAAGGGGCAGCCCAGATCCTTCTGGATCTCACAGTGGAATGTGTTCAGCACCACAGTGTCTGTGGCCGACAGTGCTGGCTCTCACAGCCTAACTCATTACCCAGTCTGATCAAAGACCTTCACCACCTCATTCTGGGAAGTGCCGAGGGGGGAAAGAGGGCAGATGGAAGCACAAACTGTCCTACCACATTAGCATAAAAAGAACTCCTTTTATGGAACCCAAAGGGAGGTACTGATAGGCATGAATGAGGCTGAAGATTCAAGGTCATGGCCATTGGTGTTTGCAGACCTGGTACAACTCCAGAAGCCAAGAAATAGTTACTTACTATGTGTCTCATCAGCTGGGTCTGCTATAATGAAGTACCATAGACTGGGTGGCTTAAACAGCAAAAATTTATTTCTCCTGGTTCTGGAGTCTGAGAAGTCCAAGATCAGGGTGCTAGCACGCCAGGGCCCACTTCCTAATTTGTGGATGATGCCTTCTCGCTCTGTCCATGCATGGTGGAAAGAGAGAGTTCAGGACTCTCTTCTGCTTCTTATGGGGACACTACTCCCATCATGAGGGTGTCACCCTCACGACCTCACCTAATTGCCTCCCAAAGACCCCACCTCTAAAATCGTCACATTGGGGGTGGGCTTCAACATATAAACTCTGGGGGACACAAGCACTCAGTCCATGGCACTATCTGGCTTGAGCAAGTCACTCCACTTCTCAGAAGCTCAGTTTTCTTCTCTCCAAAATGGGGTAATTATATCTAACTTGAGATAACATGCATAAAAAAGCTGACACCTAGTCAGTTCTCAATAAATAATTATTGTTTTGGCTACCCCATACAAAATTTCCCTTTGACTCAAAATCTCTGGTAGCTGACACACAATGGGTGCGTCTGTTAAAAAGGCCTGATACTGCAGCTTGTATAAAGACTTGTTTGATTTGCTTTTTGTTTCTAAAGGAAGAAACATTTTAAACTGGGCCATCTTGGTCCCAATATCTGCAGTTACCCATTAGCTGGGTTTATCCCTCCTCTGTAAGACACAGACATCCATAACCCAGTACTGAGATGCTTCCTTGAGATCATGCCCAAAATGCCTGTTATTACTCAGATTAACACCATCATCAATCATCCACGTTCCATGAGCATCTGCAATTGGTGGGTGCTACACAGAGCAGGGAGGTAGACATGCTTCACAGATTTCTCATCTGAACAGACAGGTAGAGCAGAGACAAAGGAAAGGGCAAGCCCGCATCAAGCCTCTCCAGGTCTCCCCTGCCTGCAACTGTCTGACAGTGAATCACATGGGGAAATTCAACAAGCAGGGGAACCTATCAGAGAGCACAGGGCTCCCCGCCCCTGCCTAGAGAGTCACAGAAACTGCAGCTCTAGGGCCAGCAGTCAGAGGTGGACATGGGGGTTATGTTCTGCCTTTCTCTCACTCCCATTTGTAAAGAATGGGATGGGAAAGTGGGTGGATGTAGTGAATTGTCATGATGCCTGTCATCTGCAAATTGCAGAACGTGATTGAGAACACGGATTATTTTTGCTACTTTTAAGACAGAGGGTAGCTCTACTCAGGAGCCAGAGGAGCAGCCCAAGTACAATAAGGCCTAGGGCCAAGCTGCTCTTAGGACAGCCTGCTAGCTCTTGCCTCCTGAGGAAGCAGAAGGCAGTGGGCAGAAAGGGCGACGGAGAATGCCAATGAATCTATCAGGCAACAAATAAAGACCAACTATTGGAAGAGTCTGGGGGTAGAAGGAAGTAGTAAAATGGAGTGGCAGCTATTGGGAGCAGCTGGTTTAGGGGATTGGTTGGTATAAGATAGAAGAATCACTCACATCTGCAGGAATATGGAAAGAAACAGTGGAGGTTGTAGGTGCTGAAAAGTAGCGCAGCTAGCTGGCACTCCCACGTTCCAGAGACGATCAGGATTGTAAATCCTTCTTGGTAAAGTCAGAAAAGACACTCTGCATAGGACTGGTTCCCATAAGTAACATCCGAACTTGGAGGTCTCTAGAGCCGTGTAAGATCCTTACAAAACTCTCCTTCTGAATCTGGGAGCCACAAAATCTCCCCAAAGTTCTGACTTTTTCCTAATATGAATTAGTTTGCTTGATCCAAGAATGAGGCTCTATCAAAAGACAGCCAATGGAACAGACATTTAATCTCTAAGAAATGGTCTTTTATTTTGGAAAAAGGCAAAAGAGGTGACTAGGAAGGTCTGTGCCCTCCCACCTCCACCTCCCACCTGGAGATGACCATTGGCCTTATGTGTCCAGCAGGAGACTCCAGCCATGGGAGTAGATCAGACACTTCCAAATGAAGAGGCATGGAGGTTTCCACTTCACTTTTGACCAACAGGGGCAACATTGAAGTCTTTGTTTATTAGGACAACTCTAATTGTGATTTATGCAACTCTGTACATTTCAACTTAACCAAAATTAAAAATCATCAGATTAGCTAAGTGTGTAATCCCTTAAATGAATTGTCAATTAATCACTCCTTAATGATAATAGAATGCTTACCAAATAGTATATGATCTCTGAATAGTGCCAAATAAATTGATTAAAATATTTCTTCAAGAAATAACTAGTATCCCATTTGCTCAGTTTTCTCAATGAGTTGCAATGTGTTTAGGTTCTTAAAAATTGGATCTGAGATTATACTTGCATTACCCTAAGGAAAGACAAACTTTTAAAGTGACCATGTTGTTACCAAAACTTTAGTACTTGTCCCCAAGGCCAAATGCGTGAGAAGAAAGAATGAGGACAAGTGGCTTGAGAAAAAGAAAAGAGAAGCTTATTAATTTCTGACAAATGAGTAGGGCAGCAGATAAGCAGCTTGAAAGACCTCCGGCCCCACCTTTAAGCAGAAGGGGGGGGGCTTTTTAAAGGGGAGAGATGTTCAGAGGTTGGGCTCGTTCTATGTGATTAGTGTCACATGTCATGGCTTTGGGCTGTTGTTATTTAACTGTAGTTGGTGGTTTGGGTCGACCTTGTCTCCAGTGAAGACGATCTCATGACCTCCAGACAATTCTGTTGAGCTATCTACTATGGTTCAAGATACTAGAAAACAAAGAATGAAGAACATTTTTCTGCCCCTTTGATTACTGGCCTTGGGCAGGAATGTAGGTTTTAATTCCCACAAAGGGTGGGGGCTATAAAGAGACAAATCAGGAAACATTTTGTCCTTTTTTGGACCTTTACCTCTGTTAGAATGTCAGTGGAAACATTCACCTCCACACCTGGACCCCATTGCAGGGGTAGTTGAAAAGGCACAGAGTCTAAATCAGGATGCCTACATGGCAACCCTATTTCCACTCCCCGATAGCTATGTGACCTCTGTCCCTTATGTTGCTAAGCCTCAGTTTTTTTGGTGAAAAACTGGGCATGATAGTTCTAATTTAAGGTTGTGGTGAGGACTAAATTAAGCAACACAGGAGATGAAGGACTTCAAAGCTGTGGCAGATAGGCTTCCCCCAATGGTAGTCAGTATGTATTGATTGATTGAAAAGTTTAGGTGAACTGAAATTACAATTAATAAACACCTGAGCATCATCTCTGAGCAAGACACTACACCAGGAGGTAGAGATAAGGAAGGAAAAGAAAGTAGCAGAGGAGACGAGAGAAGAAAGGAGAAAAATCAAATACCATCCCTTGCTCTCAAAAGGATTGTCATCTAGTTAGCCAAATTTTAGGGAAATGAGATATGATGATAACAATAGCTGATATTTATGGAGTGTTTATGGAGTGTGTTGGCACCATCACAAGCCCTTTGAGCATCATTTAATCTTCTCAACAATTCTATAAGGCAGTACAATTACATTTAGCCTCATTTTACATATAAGGAAACTGAGGCACTGAGTTAAGTAACTTGCCTTCTGACTTTGAATCAGAAGTCCTAGGTCTGAATCATCCATACTATCTGTACAGCCCTAGGCAAGTCATGCACCCCTCACAGTCTCTTCATCTGAAGCAAATTAATATTCCCCACTGCACAGTTTTTGTAATCATGAAATAAATTGAGTGTAAGT